TGGGCAGAAGTCGTCCCGTCTACCTTCCACGTCTGCGATCGCGGGATGAAAGTGTTTTTTTGGCACCTTAACGAGTGGATGCGGTGGGTGGCTGTCTCAGTCAAACCGCCTGACCTCTGACCCCCTACTCGGAGGACGAGTAGTTGCAGACAAAGCCGACCTTGCTTGGGCCCGTCCTCCGCAGTTTTCCTCACAAAAAGGCTTGGTCAACAAGGCTCGGATCCAATAATGAATACTAATGTTGATATCGTTATATGCTGGATGCCATATTCTGGTTGCGCTCAACAGCAGGGTGAGTAATGTGCGTCGTAGCTTAACTGCTGAATTCATTACCATGCGATCAGCTACGGTCCCCACCCATGCAATGTGTTAGGTATTTGATGTATTCTGATCCGTTCCTTAATTGGGGGTCCCCCCTCTTCCATCCATCCATGCAAACTCGGTCAAGTCCAAACACCCCAGCGGGCTTTAATAATTAATGTGGCTGTTTACGTGCTGATCTTTTGTCTCTGCTTCCTTTGATAGTAAAGCCTTTGATGAGTAGACGACGCTTTCTGGTTGCCAAACTGACTTTTCCTTCCTCTATCTGTCTCTCTCGCGTCATCTCTCTTTCTTGAGGGGCGTATTTATATAACTAAGTTTTCCTGACCCGTTATTGAGTTTTGAGGTGGGGTGCACTCTCTAAAATGTCATCTCGTGATCAATGGTTGTGTCTCTGTTAACTCTGACAAAGCATCGAGAACTTCCTTTACACAAAACGCCCCAAACATCCAACCCAAGCCTCCATCAAAGCCTATACGAATACCCGCTTTCAAAGCCTATACGAAGTCTTTATTAAGGAGAAATCTGGGATCTCCATCTCTCTGTTTCTTCTTCTTGGTGGGGTGCCATTAGTAATACATTGAAGGGAGGCCTTGAAGAATCGATAGCGACAGGGCAGAAACAGAATAGATGAGCGAAGGAGGGTGAAGAAACCAGGGGGCCTAGGTTGTGGGGGCCGCACTGAATCAGAGGAAACAGAGATTTTTGAGTTGAATTGAAGAGAGGATTTGAGAATATACATAGTAGATCAGACAAAGAACATCTCGTGATGAGTGGAAGAATGTTGGAGAGGGAAAAAAGGGCAGTAAGATGGAAACTGGTTGATGTTTAGATCAGTAGTTCTCAAACTTTTTGACTCAAAGGCCCCCACTGTTTACTGAGCATTCAAATGACCCCTGTATAATATATCATTAATATAAATTATTTTTTTTATAATAACATATTGATTTAAATCATCTTAAGTCATCCTATAGCCCCTAGTGGGCCTTGGCCTGCTTTGTTGAAATCCACTGGTTTAGATCATAAGGAAGGGAGTGATTGGTGTGTGGGGTGTGACAAAGGCCTAAATGAAGTATGCTAATGAAGAATTTAAATTATGAATGAGATTATGAGGTTTCTCCAGACCTTACCATGCTATTTCACACACACATACACACTCGCTCTCAAAATATAGTACAATCCTTCTTTTCATGTTTCTGTAATCCTCAGACATCACACAAATCCTTCTTCCTTCCTCTCTGCGCCTACTCATCTGTCTGTAACGCCGTTCGCCTCACTTCTGTACACATGCGAAATCCATAAACAACAGCACCCATAGAAGTGCCCAGTGTACACAGTTTCTCTATCATTTTGTTATAGAACTGTAAGACTAGAACAACCTCAGACACTTTGATCTTCTGAGATACAGACAATACAATCACAGTGTATTAAAGTACAGGCATCTGTAGATGTAGGAAAGCATTTGTTCTTTTTCTTCCATTTTCTTCCCTTCGCTCAGTTCACTCAGTATGGTCAATAGCAAAATATAATGTACTACATGAATGCAAGTGATATTTACAGTCATGATTGTCTGTATGTAAATGTCTCAGTGCAACTTTTACAATCTTACAAGAAGTAAACTAAAAGATAATAAATATCCTAGTTCAGAGATATTTTGCTTATTGTAGAGGGTGTGTCCTGTCTTCTGTAATCCTCAGACATCACACAAATCCTTCTTCCTTCCTCTCTGCGCCTACTCATCTGTCTGTAACGCCGTTCGCCTCACTTCTGTACACATGCGAAATCCATAAACAACAGCACCCATAGAAGTGCCCAGTGTACACAGTTTCTCTATCATTTTGTTATAGAACTGTAAGACTAGAACAACCTCAGACACTTTGATCTTCTGAGATACAGACAATACAATCACAGTGTATTAAAGTACAGGCATCTGTAGATGGAGGAAAGCATTTGTTCTTTTTCTTCCATTTTCTTCCCTTCGCTCAGTTCACTCAGTATGGTCAATAGCAAAATATAATGTACTACATGAATGCAAGTGATATTTACAGTCATGATTGTCTGTATGTAAATGTCTCAGTGCAACTTTTACAATCTTAAAAGATAATAAAGATCCTAGTTCAGAGATATTTTGCTTATTGTAGAGGGTGTGTCCTGTCCCAGTGTATTTCATGAAAATCACCATCTATCCCCAAAAGGTGTAAACTGTTCACGTCTAGGCCTTGATCAATGCAAATTCCAATTGTTTGTTCCTGTCTCCGTTTGGAAGATGTTTGTCTTGATCTGAGTATTTAATGTTGCAAGAAGATCTACACGATTCTGTATCCAGATGAGCCCATAGTGTGGAGTGTGTCTATACTAGGGTTGTGACGGTGAGGAAATTTTCCCACTGGTTAATCGACGTGTGACAACACCGGTAATACCGGTATCACCGTGGGGGCGGGGGCATTCCCTCTTTTTCTCGCTTTCCATCGCTTTTAAATAGCTTGTAAAAGCGGTGTGCGCATTTTACTTTTACTTTCAAATAGCGGCAATTTGGCGTAAAGCAATTGTTCGTTTTTAGTTCGTTTGAATTTTCCCTATTTTCCTCACTTTCCTTCGCTTTTAAATAGCTTAAAAGCGCCGTGCACATTTTACTTTCACTTTCGAATTAGCGGCAGTTCAGCGTCAATTGCTTGAATGCAACAACAAAATACAACGTCAAACTCATTTTAGTCTATATATAAAACATAGAACTTTTATTAACAAAACAAATAAAAATACACCATGCTATGCCTAATATAAAATAACAAACAACTTACATATAGTTTAAATAGGTATACAAAACGGGAAATAGGCTAAGTAAACATGTATAATATATATATAACCAAATAAATAAGAAACGTAGAACGTTTATTAGCAAAACGAGTAAGAAAGCTTGGAAGCACGGCATACACCTTGATGTCAAATAAAATAATTAAATGACAAAGTTTAAATAAAGTAAAAATCAGCAAACAATGTGGAACCAGTTAAACTAATACTATAATACTATCTAAGTTCAACTTAGATAAACGGCAAAAGTCAACAGGCTTTTCAAAATCCAAAATATTGCCAAACAGGCACTTTTGCATTTCGTTTCGAAACTAAATCATCCAACATCGTCTTTTCTGTCTCACCTCACTCTTCTTGTCAGTCAGCTCGACTCACTCTCCTCACTGGATAAATGAAATCTGATCGGTGATGCGACTGTCGTTTGGCACGCTGCATTGAGCAGCCACGTTCAGTTTTTAATTGTAGTGTCTGTTCTTTTACTGAACTAAATTATTTTTATTAGGCTACTACAAAAAATCAAAACGACGGTGGGGGTCGGTGCTGCGGTGGGCAAGTGACGTAATACCGGTATCACCGTCAACACCGTCTATCGCGGCAAGCCTAGTCTATACACTCCATGCTATGTATTTTTCGGAAGTCAGGAATGCATCTTTTACTCTTAGATTTATCTTTGAGAATTAGATGTCTTGTATTGATTTGAAATGACTATGTAATTGTGTGTAAGTGTAATTCTGACTTTGAGATGAATGACTATAGTATGTTACGTTTAGTTTATAACACCACAAATCTACGCTCATGTTAGTAACGGACTAAAATGCAGTTTAGGTGGAGCAGAGGGGCACACCGACTGTTATTTTAGAGCTCCAGCTAATACACTGCATTAGTCATGTACTGTATACTTAGAGTGTAGAGGCTAATAATGGGTTTTCCTTTTAGAGCAACAGTGTTGTTGTTGACCAATTTAAATAGGGTTCAGCCTCAACCTCTGATTATTGTAAAATGATTCTAACTAGGTGTACATGGGAAACTATGGCATGATTATATAAAGTTATCATTAGAGCAAGTTAAGTTGGTCAACTTGGTTAATGACCTCTGGTTAGATATAGTCTTACCTTAATTGATTGTGTTCAGATCTATGGGGACAAAATTATATATTCTAGAATGAGCAAAGTAGGTACGGGCCTTCTAGAACATTAGTCAATCGCCCCCTTCTAATGATCAAGACTGACGAGTTTGTGAGTATGAGATCCGTATAAATTACATTTAAATTGATAATTAAATGATTCGTTTTATTATCAAAGCTCTTTACTTTTTATTGCTGGGGGCAAAACATATAATACAATGCAATGCAGAGATGATTGAGAGATACAAATAAATGTTCTACAAAAGTCTGATGTATCTGTTGTAAAAACATATACTCGCATTTTAACATGATTTTTCAAGTTGTTTTAGTCCAGTAAGTGTTCATCTTAAAATATTACTAATAACATAAAAGTTATTCTTATGTTTACTTTATAAAAATCAGTAAAAATTGAATAACAAAAATGTGTACCATGACCTAAAAGTG